TGGGTGGCTAACAAACATGTAATTGTAACCAAACAAGTGGACTCACAGGATCGGAGGGGTTGAGGGCACTGCTCAATGAGCTTCCACCCTTGCATTCACACACTGACACTCCACATAGATGTAACCCTACATTTACAGTTCAATGTGGCATTCAACTTAAATACATTCCTATAGTCAATTTTGTGAATTGTATTGCTATGGAATGTGCCCATATTCAATAAACATCACATTACTGAGCACCACAATGATATTGACAAAAGTCTGAATTGTACCAAAGTTTCCGAATTGCAAAATTAAGGCTAAAATATCCAAATTTTTATAATCAGTAATTTCTTTGACAGAAGTTTATTGAAGTACAAGTTTATTGAAGTACAATATGCATTTTAGAAGGTTGTTTTTATTTTTGTAATATGCTGCATTGTAATTAAATAATATGTCAGTGCCATACCAAAGACTTTGCTCTGGATCTATCCATGAATTTGAAATATGCAAAAATTGAGTGTGGGCATCATAATGTGTGTCACTCTTCCCTTTGAAATGGCTCAAATCAGTTAAAAGACATTAAGATGAAATTTAATGTTGAAAAATGCAAAGTTGTGCACTTCGGGGTAAAGAATACACATGCAACGTATACCCTTAATGGAAGCGAATTAGGGATAACAACACACAAAAAGGACTTGGGAATTGTTATAGACAACAAACTATGCAACAATGTGCAATGTCAATCAGCAGTGGCCAAGGCCAGTAAGGTATTGTCATGCATGAAAAAGGGCATTCATTCTCGGGACAAGAATATAATTTTGCCTCTTTATAAATCACTGGTAAGACCCAAAATTTCAATTGAAAGCAGGAAAAATTGGTAAGCAAAAATATCTAAGTGTCTTTTATAAGGACCAAATGGTAATGGCTAGATGACTGAGCCCATGCATCTGGCAGGTCTTGTAGGGTGTTTCCTGTGTGCAGTGGTTAGAACCTACCAAAAGAGGGTCACTGATGCATGTGGGGAGTAAAAGCTAGCCCTCAGGTCTGATTACACAGAAGAACTACTGCAGCTCAAATTGCAAAAAAAAACCTTTAAGGATGGCCATGATAGAAAAGTGTCAGAACACATATTGCATCACAGTTTGTGTAGCTGCAGAATGAACCGAGTGCCTATGATGACCCCTGTTCACTGCCAAAAGATCCATCTATGGGGACATGAGTATCAGAACTGGTCCATTAAGCTTTGTAAGAAAGTTGCTTGGTCTGATACATCTTGTTTTCTTTTAGATCAGGTGGATGGTCAGGTAGGTGTGCATGATTACCTGGAGAAAAGATGGAAGCAGGATGCACTACTATCCAAATTTCCCAGATCTTAATCCAATTAAGCATCTGTGGGATGTGCTGGAAGTCCATACATTGATTCAACAGAGTTGTTTTGACTGCATGGGGGGAGGGAGTGGGG